CACAACATTTAGCTCCAAATCCACAAAACCAGCCTGAAAATGAAGGAAATCTAAAGCAATTACATTAGAGTCAATGGAGCACAGCTGTGTTGCTGTTGGAGCCTCGTCTGTGCCTACCTGATGCTATGTTAGTCTGTGTCCAGGGTCTTAGCAAAGGGTCAATTCATCAAAAATTATCTTCAGTTTTGGATTCTTAGTTCACAGGAGGAATGCAGGAAAAAAGTTTTCTTAAAGAATTCAGCAAAACACAGGGAAGGGTAATTAATAAACAGATGGTTGGATTCCTTTAAGACCTGTTAAAATAAGGAAACCACAGATATAAAAGAAATATACATTTGGTGAACCAAGAATGGTCAATGCTCACTGAAAAAATAGCAATATATATATGCCTACGTATATGTTGTACTACGCTACACAAGAAATGAAAAGAGGACAAAAGCACAGACTCAGATGTATGGCGGCCAGCTGGGCCACATAGACCAGATTATTTTATTTTATTTTTTTTATTAAACACAATAACTGATCCACATTATGATACGATGTACACTTGTCAACTAAGCAGTATACTCTGCTAGTCTCTCAAGGCATTGATAACGGGACTAATAGGTGACAATCTGTCTTCTGATACACACATTATATACAAGCTAAAGAGTGATGCGTGAGAAACTTTTTTTTTTTCAATAAGTCATGATGAATGACTACCGTCACATATGAGCCGAAGCGAATGACATGAAAACGATAAAGTCAAAGGGTGCTTTTCAATACTCCAACGCGGCTTCCTCTCTTTATCTCCCATTTCCTGCCTGAAATCAAAACTGTTTATCTAAATGTTGTCAATTTGCAGAACGGAAAGATGAAAGAGGCCAATTTAGACTACTGAAATGCACCCTATCTTTCTCCATTTTTTTTATGCAAGCACATGACAAGCACCTGCAGCTGCTTAAGGTCTCCATTATGCATCAGCTAAAAACTGCTCAAAGATAGTTCAAAGGACTTACAACAGAAGAGAACAAAGATTCACAAGTATGAGGGACAAAATTATCCAGACCCATAATTTCTTAATAGTGACATGTCCCCCTTCCCCTTCCCGTTTAAAGTACATCCTGTAACATTAAATACACCCATAATGACATATGCATCTTCCCTCTCCCGACCCGTGCAACCCTCTCCCTTCGCTTTTTCATAAACCAGTGTTGTTCTGAATGTGAGAGCTTCACCGCGTCCATCTCTTTGCAGGATCTGTGTGTGTGTATGTGTGTGTTTGTGTTCAAGACGCTCCTATGGAGAGGTTTGACTACACGTTTACCAGATATAGCCCCCATCATCCACCTCTCCCACCTCTCCCTCTTCCTCTTCAGCCTCCTCTGCAGTCTCCTCGGCCTCTTTCTCTTCCTCGTCTTCCCATCCAACTCCACTGCCAATATCACCTGAATATGCCATTTCATCATCTGTAGAGGGAAAACATGCAGGGCAGAGGAGGGGTGGGATGCAGGCAGATTGAATTATCCACTGTGGCAATCTTGTATATTGCAATAAATTCTGTTCAGCATGTCTTCCTCTTAACTTTGACGGAGTCCTTTCTATCAATGAGAAATGCCGAAATAGATTTAAAAACACTGACTGCAACAGTAAAAAAAACAACAACAAAAAACAGGCATGTGTTTGACTTTGTCTGGATTTTAATAGCTATTTCTAAACCTTGCCAGGGGAGCCATTCTTATCAGGCGCAGGTTCAGTCCAACCAGCCCTCATTTATCTTGAAAGACTTTTCTCACAGCGACAAGCGGCGCTTTAGAATGCAAATGACTCCGGACACATGAATGTGGCACTGGTCCCTGCAGTGAGTTATGTTGCAGTGGGCCTCAGTCCTTAAACATAAAGAAAGCCTTGTGCAGAATGCAAGTGGGGGTGCTGGAGAGAAGTGGGCCAATCCGCAGCAGACATTTTGAGGGGTTTTTTTTTCCCCCTCGCCAAATCAGCTTTCAAGTTTAAATTCAATTCATTCATATATCGACAGCTGACACCTACAGGGCTTACCGCAATCTGGCTTGCCACGCATCCGAGATCCGGCTACTTCTCCTCCGTTCTGGTCAACACACCAGCACTCTCCCCTGTCACACTGCTGCTTCCTGTAGTAGCCGTCCTCATCACAGCTTGGGATGAATCGACCTGGCGTTCACACGCAAAAAAATAAATAAGAGTCGGGTATGGTAAAGCGGCCTTAACCTACAAGCAGATGAACACACCCTGCATCATGGTAATCACACATGGAGCCAAGTGAGAATGTAATGCATGCAGCATATGTGGCAGCCAATTCCATATTCCATGAATACAAATATGTTCACGGAGCAAGATAGGGGTGAATAAGTATTAAGTCAGCATATTGCAGCATATTGGGGTAGTGTGTGGGGTGGTGGTGGCTAGCTAATCATCACGGGATGAGGAAGGGACACAAGATTGGACAGTTTTCAATTTCTGAGCTGTTGCATGAATATGAAATACAGCCTGCATTCACATATGACAGTGCACAACAATCTGTAGTTACACTTATCACTATCTTTTCAACTATTTCCCTGTCACACTCCTCAGAGATGGAGGGATGTGTCGTGACGTTTAATATTTCAAAAGGCTAGTTTTATAATGATGTAAAAAACACAAATAGGACAGAGCAAAACAGAACTGTCCGTCCACTCTTTCAAGGGAACATCTGAGCGTCGGGCTGGCAGCTTGCCCCCTGCTCGCCGCTCTGTGTCCTTGGAGAGTCCTGACTCAGAGCCCAGTCAGCCAGCCAAAATCTGCAG